ATGCTAACATTTCTGGCAAATCATTATTAAATTCGTTGTTGCTTATTTTTGTAGAAATATTATGGCTCTTCGAAATCATTTAGTTTCAAGCACACCTGCCACGGATTATTTTCTGCAACAAAAAGACTACTTCATCATTTTCCTCCTGATTCTGCTTCAAGTCATAATAAACTTCATGTTCAAATAGTTCTCTACCATTGAATCAGTGAACTAGAAAGATCTGATTTGGCCTGGGACCATTGTTCAAGTTGGTTTGGTCTTTATTAAAAATCACAATATTTCTAAAAAAATAAAAATAAAAAAAAAACCTAGTAGATAAATGTAGAGGTATTGACTTTTCGTATCTTTTATCTTCACACTGAAACAAGAGCTATCCTATTTGATTATTAAAGTGAGCTATGTGTTAAGTGCCAGGACATTTCTAGCTTTTGTGAGAATGTGTCTACATGTGAGTATAATAAACCCACATGTATACACAATTGTCTCTTAAGTACTCTTACCTTACAGTAATCTTCGTATTCTATAGTATGTTCTGAGATGTAATGTTAACATTGTTCATAACAAAAAATGCTATAATCTTATAAATACATGTAATCTATTTTCTTCATAAAACAGGCACAAAACTTTTATCAGTAAGGAATTACAGATTGAGAAATGATGGAATAATAGACATAATTAGTTCAATGCAGTACTGCTAAAATCATTTGCAAAGCACTCAGCTGAGTTATCTTCTTAGAAAGAAAAAGTATGAATGGTCAAAATGAATATATTGAAAGAGATAAATGGCAAATTGTTTTTTTTAAAGTTTACACAAGATTTTTTTTAACCCCCAGAATTTAATATATAGAGATTGAGGTAAATATATATACTTATGTGTATATCAGTATAAAAACACTGGTGTGCAACTACTTGGATTGATTATAATACCACCTTAAGCACTTGCAGAAAAAAGTGTTGTCAAAATTGATTGCTGTCCTTTTTTCTTACTTTTGTTTTTCTTAGGTCATCTGGTTCATAACATAGGCCAAATTCTAGAGATGTTTATAGGGCATTTGAAGTGCTGGTAATTCATGTTTTCTCATTATGAAAACTTATTTTAGCTTTAGACCCTAGTGTGTTCAGTGAGTAAGTAGAATACAAAAGATTATAACCAATATTTTACTTCAAAAGCCAAAAAGAGAAAGTCAGTAAGAAAAGACACTGTGTGGTGGCACGTATGTGTACATTAAGATTGGTTTCTGTAAAACACGCAATAAGTTGAGTATCTATGAAGACTATCAAGTTCTGAAGTTTAATTTTTTATTATCCCCCTCTATTTTTAGTAACTTCTTTCTGTGGCAAAACCACAATTCTTTGAGAATTCTATTATTCAGGCTAAGAAAAACAAGTTTTTTTGTTTCTTCAGTTTAATATTTTCACTTTGTATTTTTATATAAATATTTATATTCCATGAGAACAGTTTTTGCCAAGGTAGTTAAGTTTAGGAATATGTTGTTCTCAAATATGTCTTAGAATCCTGAAAGTATAGATTTTGAATTTTTTTTTAATAATAATGAATGTCAGAGAGAATAATTGCCCTGACCACATTTGCCTTTCAGTAGGAGGTGGCTGTGAAATAGTAAAATTATAATCAGTTGTTTATGCCATGATAAATACAAGGGCTGATTGCTAAATTATGAAAATCAAAATGATTATAAAAAGAGCCTGCTTTTTTCCCTAACCAGTGTAGCTATCTTAAGTATTCTTAGGTTTCTGTGAAGAACCATTTCCCATGTTTTGTTGGCACAGTAATTCTGTCTTCTATATGTACATGTGAATTGATGTTTTAAATTGATAAAAGCATAAATAAGACCAACCTATACCCATTATTTTCATGACATTAGAACTAATGGATTTTTGGTTATATTTCATATTTGTCAATGTAATTTTTGTATTCACATTCTGTTACATTCTGCCTATTCATTGATATATGATATTCTGTAAATATTGTACAACTTGATCTTTTTTATGCTTTAAATTAGTTAATTACATGTAACTTGATTGGCTTATCACAAAAATGATTTCATCATTAAACCTTGATAACACTTTTTATTGGTGACCCACCTCTTAGGACTTTGGTCTTATCCACGTGTATGTTGTTTTCATTTGGTACAAATAATATTTCATCTGTATGGGTATCATCTAAGACTAAACAGGTGGTTGTTTTCTTTATTTTTAAAATTTCTTTTTAGAGCAAATGTTATGGGTTCTTACCCAAAGAGTCAAAACTATTTCTTAAGAAAGAGCAGGGTTATTCATGACTGTTTCTTGTACACTAAAAGCATACATCTAATCTAATAGTCCTCTTACGCTTTTAGTTGTATGAGTTTCTTTCTATGAACTGAACACAAAACTCAGGAATTGGTGGCTTAATTTTAGATCAGTGCTTGTACTAGGCTTAGTTATACGAATCTTTAAAACACGTAATTACTAACTTTGTAGCCATAATATGTAATTGACTTTGAATGTTATTTACCTGAAATTAATCTTCCTTCACACCTGAATTCATAATGTGATTTACAGTTCCTAGTTGTCTGAGAGCCTCATGAGGGTTTCTAGGACTTAGTACTTTATGACCAGTTTTTTTCATTTATCAAAATTTTATTTTCTTACATGAAAACTTAATTGAGTAATAATTATTCACATGTGCATTTTATTCATAGCTGTTAAATGTCCCATGCCATCATTAACCATTTAGTAAGATGTAGCTGGCCCAGGACACGTAAAAGAAAACAGTAAATAGGGCATGTGAAATGTTAAGTTACAGCAATAGATATTTCGCTTGTATTTCATTGTTTTGTATCACTTAGGTACAGTGTACTCTTGGTCACAGCTCAGTTGGCAACTACGTTCCATTGAAAAGTAGGCCTTGTAAAATACAATTTTCATTTAATATTCATACTGTTGTGCCTTTAAGAAATATGTTTTGTCATTTTTGTGTTACAGAACTAATATGATTCAAGGTGTTTATAGACTTAGTTGTCATAAAAGCGTCATTTCTGTGTCACTTTATTTTTTTTTATATAGCTATAGTATATTTAAACAATAATGCTATCTTTTATAAGGGTTTGTCTATTTACCTATTCTTTACTCAGACATTGATGTAGACTTGTCAGATTATTCTGAATATTGTTAACAGTGCCTTTTCGATGGAATTCACACTTTTTTGGCTGTCAACTTGTGCCATATACATACAAAATTTTGTGGAAGGCAGTTTTAACTTTTTGAAGAATATCTGTCAAAATTTAAGAAAACAAATGTATAAAATTCCATTTTTTCCAGTATTTAGCATTTCTAGTAAGCAGTGAGGTTTTTTTGTTTGACATACAGTGATGATGGCATTATTGATAAGCCATACATGAGACTGCAGATTATACTGAATTATATTAAATATACATAAATAAAATATTAGATTTATATCAAATTTTCCAATCTGAACCAGCGGGGAAAGCCCCACAGAAATCAGTAAGTTTACATTTCAATTTCTGTCTTATTTGACTAAGTGGAAAGAGAGTCTCTAAAATGTATAATCTCCCATTATGTAATTTGGTTTTATTTTATTCTATCTGTTGTGTGAGTTTAGTATATTTAATTTACTTTTTGTTACTCTTACATACTGTTTGTTTTTGTTACAGTTTTTAATTGAAGATGGACTGTTAAAATTGTATAGGACCAGTGTCTTATTAATATGATTAATGTATTTAGAAGAGCCACATGAAACCCATGACAAAATGAATGTGAATATTCTTTCTAAAAATTTAGAAAATTTTATCTTTTTGCATTTGTTATGTAAAATTGTTTTGGTTTTGCAATATCAAATTTTATCACTTAAAAAAAATGCCATGAAACATTTGAACTGATGAGCCACAGAACTTCAGTTGAAATTTTTTTTTTTTACTTTTTGGCATGCTAAATATACATCTGAGTTAAAATATTTTGTTTAATGGCCGTTTATAAATTCAAGCACTACCACTGGTCAGTTTTGTGTGATAGAATAAAAATATGTTACCTTCAGTGTAAGTACAGCACACTGTCAAATTCTTTTCCTTAAGGTGCATAGTAAATGTACAGGTAGTTATAGGCCACTGTTTTGTAATGTAGTACATTTCTAATCTATTATTCCTAACCTATCATAACTGTTTGCAGAAAGAAAAGAATTGAATTTTTCTAATAATCTGTAAAATTATGCTAACTTCTATAAGTAGGCTTCTAAATAAAATTTTGTAAAAGAGCAAAGTGTGATCAAGTGACTTTTAATACAACATGGTGACTAAATTAGTGTTAATTTTTTTTTAATCCTCCCTTTTGGGGGTGTAGAGATAGCTGCAAAGGATGGCAGAAAACTTGAAAGGGATTCAACAGTGAGAATCCCTGAAGTATGCTTTGCTTGGTGCTTTATATTCATTCTTCTTGAATCCTCTATGAGAACCTTAAGTGGAAGTAAGCCAGATTTTATGCATTAAGACACTGAAGCTCGGAGAGGTTGAAAGTCTCCAAAAGCTACAGAGTAAGACTGGTAGCCCACTCTTACTTAAGAGTTTGAATCTGTATCTCCATTGTACACTTAAATAGAACGCTAACCATAGCACTTCACTTCCAAATATCAGGAATATAGTCCACTGCTTGAATCTCTATTGAATAATGTAAACCCTTTGTTATGAGTAGCACCAGAAAAAAACTTCTACTATTAAACAAACATATGCGACATATACAAAATCCATATGAAAGGTTTTTTTTCCTCCTCAGATTACACCTATTAGTCCATACTGAGTCAACATCAGATGAGTTCCAAGACATCATTTCTCTCTGGTTCCCCCCCCCGCCCACCCTCCTCTCTTCCCATTCTTGCTCTCCGCTCAGCATGCAATGGCTTCTGGCTGTCATTTGGTTTGGTTTTATTAATTGGGGAGAAAAAGATAGGAGAGCCTGCTGGTTTCTTCTATCTTGGTCATAGCAATAAGGAGTAAGGAAAACAGCCTCTCATTGTCCAACCTCAGTGAAATATCTACAAGATCATTTTCTTGCTAATATTGGCATGTTTTGATTCGCAGATGATGTATGTTGTGCTGTTATGCTAGTTGAATCTTCTGCATCTTACAAAATACCACTTGTGGGAATAATGAACCAGGAGAGTGGTGACCTACCACAGTAATTTGGTGGGTGTATCAGGCATCTGAACCAGAGCAAGTCCATCTTGAGTAGGGGCTGGGTAAAATGAGGCCGAGACCTACTAGGCTGCATTCCCAGATGATTAAGGCATTCTAAGTCACAGGATGAGATAGGAGGTTGGTACAAGGTACAGGTCATAAAGACCTTGCTGATAAAAGAGTTTGCAGTAAAGAAACCAGCCAAAACCCACCAAAACCAAGATGGCCACGAGAGTGAACTCTGTCCTCACAGCTACCCTCCTACCAGTGCCAGTGACAGTTTACAAATGCCATGACAACATCAGGAAGTTACCCTATATGGTCTGCAAAGGGGAGGCATGAATAATCCACCCCTTGTTTAGCATACAATCAAGAAATAACTGTAAAAATGGGCAACCAGCAGCCCTCAGGGCTGCTCTGCCAATGAGTAGCCATTCTTTTATTATTTTTTTTCTCAGTAAACTTGCTTTCACTTTATGGAGTTGCCCTGAATTTCTTTCTTGCATGAGATCCAAAAACCCTCTCTTGGGGTCTGGATTGGGACCCTTTTCCTGTAACAGATATACTATAAATATTTTAATGTTGAGTGCTAACTATGCAAGGTATAGTGAACATTCACCTCCTCAAAACCTTGAGATTTTTTTTTTATTTGTTATATCCGTTGGTTTTTTTGGCGGGGGTTGTTTCGTTTTGAGACAAGGTCTTGCTCTGTCAGCCAGGCTGGAGTGCAGTGGTACAATCTCAGCTCACTGCAACCTCCCCCTCCCAAGTTCAAGGGATTCTTACACCTCAGCCACTAGAGTAGCTGAGATTACAAGCATGCACCACCATGCCCAGCTAACTCTTATATTTTTAGTATTTTTAGTAGAGACAGGGTTTTGCTATGTTGGCCAGGCTGGTCTCGAACTCTTGGCCTCCTGTGATAGCCCGCCTTGGCCTCCCAAAATACTGGGATTATAGGCATGAGCCAGGCCCATTGCTTTTAAAGATGCGAAAAGCAGAGATCAAAGAGGTTACTTGGTAGATGCCACAGGTAAGGAAATTAACAGCAAACCCAGGTCTGAATCCAAAGCCCATACTCTCAAGTGCATGTGTTTTAGGCCAGGCAAGGTGCCTGTAATCTTAACACTTTGGGAAGCCAAGTCTGGAGGATCACGTGAGGCCATGAATTCAAAACCAGGCTGGGCAGCATAGGGAGACCCTATCTCTACTAAATGAAAATAACCGGGCTAGCAAGGGACGAAGTGACTTGGAGGTTAATGCAGAAGGATGACGAGCTCAGGGTCGCAGGGTTGCAGTGAGCTCTGATCATTGCACTCCAACCTAGGCGGCAGAGTGAGACCTAGCCTCAAAAAACAACAACAACAAAAAACGCTGTAATATAAGAGACAGCATTCTCTGTCATTGGATTATATACAATAATCCCTGGCCAGTGTGTTTTTAAAGCATACTGTTGATCACCAATGTGACTAATGATTTAAATCACATCAGCCAGACGCAGTGCTCACTCTGGGAGGCTGAGGCGGGTGGATCTCTTCAGGTCAGGGGTTCGAGACCAGCCTGGCCAACATGGTGACAACCTGTATCTACTAAAAATACAAATATTAGCTGGGCACACTGGCGCATGCCTGTAATTCCAGCTACTTGGAAGGCTGAGGCACAAGAATCGTTAGAACCCGGGAGGTGGAGGTTGCAGAGAGCCAAGATCGCACCACTGCACTCCAGCCTGGGCGACAGAGCGAGACTCCATCTCGAATGAATCAATAAATGAATCTTCACGTCATTTCTGCTAAAGAAAAAGTAATGTACTTGTGGTGTCTAGAGTTTTATTGTGATACCTAAGTCTAGGGAATGTGGTAAAACCTCCGCAGCAGACCTAAAGCCTGCAATTCATGGTTGTGGCCAGATATTTTGCACCTGTCCTGTATCTAGAAATTGTTTCCGTGACGGTAAGGAAAGCAACTGGTGGAGAATGTGGACAGTGAATCCAAGGCAGAGGTTTTGCCCACTAACAAGCAGCTTCTAGCAGGGGATGAAAGCCAGCCGAGTTCCAACCCGCACAATAGTGGAGCCTCTCCACGCAGGCTCCACTACCATGTTGATTTCAGAAGAAAGTTTCTCGGGATACTAAAGGATTTACGGGCAGCTGACACCACTGGAGGAAAACGAATTCACCTAGGGAACAGGGGAAGGGTTTAAGGTTGCCGCTCCAGGCACAGCTACCGGAAATCCTAGCTTTTTTTTCTATCTTCGCGGACAGCGGGCCAGCTCACGCCAGCTGGTAAAGCGAGATGGCATTTCCTCCTAGCGGGCGGAAGGGCAGCGCTTTCGCCCAACCAAGAACCCTGCTACCCCGGCTTCTCAACCTGGCTTCCGGTTTTCTCCCCGCCTATTCCGTTTTCGGCAGTTCCCACTCCTCTTTTCGTCGGCCTTGGTGTTCCGCAAGCTGGTAAAGGAGGGAAAGTGGCCCAGATGCTAAGTTCTATGGCCGCCGCAGGATCTGTGACGGCGGCGTTGCAGGTGACCGAGGTGCTGGAAGCCATCGTGAGCTGCTGTGTGGGGCCCGAGGGGCGGCAAGTTTTGTGTACGAAGCCCACTGGCGAGGTGCTGCTCAGCCGGAATGGAGGCCGCCTCCTGGAGGCGCTACACTTAGAACATCCCATAGCCAGGTATCCGCGTCCCGTACGCTAGCCGGTAGCTGGGCAACCCCGGCAGCCTCTCTGGTCCTCTTGTCCCATCCTGAGATTATTCTTACTTGGAAAGACTGACCTCGGGTGAAACCGCTGTATGCTCGGAGTTAGAACCCTGCCCAAGGGAACACTCCTGTACCCCAAATCTTAACCAATTCCCAAAAACACTTTTTCCCTCTCCACCCAACTGTGGAATCTTGGGATAGAGCAGAGGTTTGTTTTTTCAAGAAAAGAAAATAAGAATGCATCAAATGAACACTATTCTTATTTTATGCCTATAGCTGTGAAAACATGGTTTTAACTTAATTTAGATGTGGGAAGCCAGCCTTCTGAAAATAAGTTGCTTTATTTCTTTTTTTGTACAGGATGATAGTGGACTGTGTTTCCAGTCATCTCAAAAAAACAGGAGATGGTGCAAAAACATTTATTATCTATCTTTGCCATTTGCTTAGAGGACTTCATTCAATCACAGAGAAAGAAAAGGATTCTTTGATGTGTGAAAACATTCAAACGTATGGAAGGCATTGGAAAAATTGTTGTCAGTGGAAATTTATTTCCCAGGCTCTCCTAACGTTTCAGACGCAAGTATTAGATGGTATTATGGACCAGTACCTAAGTAGACACTTTTTGTCTATCTTTTCATCTGCTAAAGAGAAGACATTGTGTAGGAGCTCTTTAGAGTTGCTCTTAGAAGCATACTTTTGTGGAAGAGTGGGAAGAAATAATCACAAATTTATTTCACAGTTGATGTGTGACTACTTTTTCAAGTGTACGACTTGTAAAAGTGGGACTGATGTATTTGAGTTAGTGGATGACTGCTTTGTAGAGTTGAATGTTGGTGTTACTGGCCTTCCTGTTTCAGATTCCAGGATCATAGCTGGGCTTGTGCTTCAGAAAGATTTTTCTAGGTACTGCCCAGCAGATGGTGACATACGAATGGTGATAGTAACAGAAACCATTCAGCCTCTTTTTTCCGCTTCTGGGTCAGAGTTTATTCTAAATTCAGAAGCACAGTTTCAAACATCTCAATTTTGGATTATGGAAAAGACAAAAGCAATAATGAAACATCTATGTAGTCAGAATGTAACATTGCTCCTATCTAGTGTGAGACAACCAGATTTAGTTATTTATTATGCAGGAGTGAATGGTATATCAGTAGTTGAGTGTTTATCATCAGAAGAAATTTCTCTTATCCAGAGGATCATTGGTCTTTCCCCATTTGTACCACTACACGCCCTTTCACAGTGTGAAATCTCTAACACTGCTTTGGTGAAATTTTGTAAACCTCTTATCCTTAGATCAAGAAGATATGTTCATCTTGGCTTGATTAGCACATGTACATTTATACCACACTGTATAGTTCTTTGTGGACCAGTTCAGGGTCTCATTAAACAACATGAGGATGCTTTACATGGAGCATTTAAAATGCTTCGGCAATTATTTAAAGACCTTGATCTAAATTATGTGACACAAGCTAATGACCAAAGTGACACTGCAAGTCTTTTTATTTGTAAGAACAGTGGAGAAAGTTATAAGGTACCAGATGCTCATAATGGCTCAATACAGAAGCCTTATCCGGACACAGTTATAGAGAACAAAGATGAATTGGAAAAAACTCAAACATATTTAAAAGCATATTCAAATTTGGCAATTTCAGATGTAGAATTAGAAACATATATTCCATATTCAATCCCCAAACTGACACCAGCAGATACATTCCAAACAGATGAAACGCTGAGATGTTTGTCTTTGGAAAAAAACAGACTAATTGGTGATTATGAAGCATTACTCAAGAGTAGTTCCACTGCTTATTCAACAAGAGGAAATAATAGAATAGAAATTTGTTATGAAAATTTACAGGTCACAAATATTACTGGAAAGGGAGGCTTGTTACCAGTGAGCTTCAAGTTACAGAATATGGGTACTTCCCAGAGTTACCTTTCCTCATCTGTGCCAGCTGGTTGTGTTTTGCCAGTAGGTGGTAATTTTGAGATCCTGTTACATTACTATCTTCTCAACTATGCCAAAAAATGCCATCAATCAGAAGAAACCGTGGTTAGTATAATAGCTAATGCACTTTTAGGCATTCCCAAAGTCCTTTATAAATCTAAAACAGGAAAGGACAGCTTTCCACATATGTATATAAGAGCTGTCCATGCACTGCAAACCAATGAACCCATAGTAAGCAGTCAGGCAGGTTTGGAATCAGTAACTGGTAAATGCCAGCTGCTAACTTCAGTTCTCCAGTGCTTGACAAAAATATTAACCATTGACTTGGTAATCACTGTTAAGAGACACCCTCAGAAAGTTCACAGTCAAGATTCTGAAGATGAACTATAACATTGGAAATTTTAAATTAACCAAACTTTTCATCTTAAGCCAAGTAGAGCAGGCATGTGACCACTGATTGTGAAGTCAGTTCAGTCTACTTAGGAAAATACCATAACTTTAAAAGTTTTTAGAAGAAGCACACTAAGGTCACCAGACAAGATGCAAATATTACATTACTTTATGGGACAAAACTAGTGGGGAAGCCAAGATTTGGCTAAGTGTATCAGTTTTTTCCCTGTTTTATGCCTGTGTCTCAGTTCTGTGTTAGCCTATGTGTTTAGAGGAGGGTGTTCCTTTATTGCTCCTTTTTATTCCTCTGTATCTTTTTCACTCTAGCCCTCCTTTATCTTTATATGTTTAGTTCATAGAATCATTTAATCTCTGATGTGGATGGGCTTAGTCTAATTGTTTATAATATTGAATGTTATTTGCTTTAATTTTCCCTACTCATACTTTATAAAGCAGTGAGTAAAAGACTCAAATTTTTTTTCAGAAAGCATAAAATTAATTTTTACTTTTATATGGTCATTGGTTTATTGCCACTTCATTTGGAAAACCTTGGATAGATTTTCACCTTCCATATACCTTTGGATATATGTTAGTTGAAATATAACTGTATTGTGAACTCTTTTATTTCTTTAGTAAAAGGTTAATACTAGAAAGGATATACAATTAATACTTTCGTTTTCTCCTGACCCAAGAGCTTGTAAGGATATTTTATGTATTTACTGTTTTTTCTTATATTTGATGAATAGCCAGAGTTCCACAGTAACAAATAGTTTATTTATATTTCTAATGTTTATTTCTAATTTATTTCATTTACAGATGTTCACATTTTATTTTAAAAGCTTATTAATGTAATACCATGCATTTTGCCATGGACAAGGACAGTATCTTCTACATTTATTAGACTAATGTGTTGACTAATGTATTTAAAAACTATAATATCACAATTTTTATATTAAATATAATTCTTGGCTTTTTAAACATTTATGCTATATGATACATTATTTTGTGTATGTGAATATGGAGAGAATAAATTAGCTCTTTTATGAAATTCATGGATGAATTTAAAATTGCTGCATAATTTTTTTCATGCTTTTGTTTTTCAGGTTATTCGGTCACTTTGCTTTTTGTGTGGTTGTTTTAAATACTCCTCCATTACTGTAAGCATTTAATGACTTCCAGACATGCCCAGTGCTTTGCATATGGCAAGCATTTAATAGACATAGTCACTAGTCCTGGAGCCCTTTTGTGAGGCAGGACTGGGTCTTTGTACGTTTGGCACTTGTTCTAATATCTTACACACAATAGATGCCTGTTGAGGGCCTATTTGTTGAATGAATTAGTCATTTGGTCCTCATAGATGAGATTATAATTTCTATAAACTTTCATGGGCAAAGGGTCTATTTTGGGGAGGAGCAGAAAGTGTAGAACAGATCTACAGAAAGCAATCCTTTTTCTTTTCCTTAAAAGAAATCTCTCAAAAATAGTGATAACGCTTTCATGGATTTATCCTTATTTACAGAATAACAGTAGGGAGTTTACATTCCTGAGTTAGATAGGAAAGCTTTTTTAAAAATGTAATTACATTGTATTTATACCCTCCACCACAAAGGATGTGAAGTGACCTGCAATAGGAAGAGACCACCTCCACCCAAGAAAAGGAACAGACAAAATTACAGTAAAATCTGAATAAAAATTAAAGAATCAAGACCAAGGAAAATGTAGAGACAAGTTAAAATTAAAATCAAGATCATGTTTCTATTTTGTACTGCTGCATAATGAATAATCCCAAAACTTAATTTTTTGAATCATTATGTTATTTACTTGTGGTTCTGGGGGTTGGCTGGGCTTACCTGGACAACTTCCACTGTATTCTATTGTTGGAGCAGTCATAAGTATTACCTGAGGTTCAAGGGAGACGTATGCAGGCTCCACCACTCAATGGGAACAGTGTCAATGTCACATCATAAGAGCATGTGGGATGGGATATATTGAGGCAGCTATCTTTGGAAAATACAATCTGCTATACCATGGGAGGGAAAAGACAAATACGCATTAACTTCTCAGCTGCATTTCTTTTTATTATTAAGTTACATGTCGATCCACTTCCCACAAATACATTTTCTCCAATAACCTTTATAGACCTTAATTTTTTCTCATTGGGCCAGCATAAGCAATTTTATTTTCGAAGCAGTAGACACTAAATAGTTAAACTTTAACATCTTTGAACTGATTCAGCCTGGGATGCTATTTAATCATGTTATACAGGAAGTGCCATGTTACGCATATTTCAGACTAAAAGGGAAGGGGAAGAATGCAGTTTGAGCCTGAACTTTTATCAGAAATTGCCCATCCCCTCCCAAAAAAGTAGAATATGTGTTTCCCATCATCACAGCTTAGCAGAGAAAACAGAAACTACAGTTCAAAAACCATGTATATGTATGTATGCATATGTAGTTATTTGTTGCAAGTTTGTAACAGCAAAAGATTGCTAACAGCCTAAAGGCTAGATGGATTTACAAAGTGAGAGAAACAATGATTTGGAGGGTGGGGGTTGGCGGGAAGATGCCAATCTGGAGGAGGTAGGAAGATTTCTCAATGTCATTTTGAGTTTTGAACCAATTGAATATTACCTATACAAAATGAAATAAAATTTTTAAATAGATCGGGGGCAAGCACATAGAGAATACTCTCCAAATAGTAATAAAGTAATAAGGACCCTGATCTAAGGAAATGCAAGATCATGTGGAAGGAAAACTGTGTTAGAGACACTATGGCACATAAGTAGAACTTTGACAATAAAAGGTATATACCTAAAAAAGGAAATATTCTCTTAGCTATACCTGGCTCAGGATTGTCTCACCAGTTGTGGAAATATGAGAACATTCTCACTTGGAAGGCTGCAAAGAGGTATGAGCTATGGAAGAGTGCCAGCAAGCAGTGTAGCATCTATCATCTTGGGGAATTTCCACAGTGCAGGGTCTGGCTCTCCCTTATGCAGACTCACCATCAGATTTTTGTCAGCACACTGATTATGGTTTTGTTTCAGGGGCTAACTCAAACAAAGCTTATGAATGTGATAAATTTATTTGTAGTAAGAACTCCCCCAGGAACCAGAATATTCCAAGTCCATATGGCCAATCTTTCCATTATGTGTGGTCCTATATGGGAAGTCAAACAATAATCGGGTGCTTGCTGAGTAAGCATGGAATCAGAACAAGAGAAATCAAATGAATTGTGTGATCCTCTTTCCAGTTCATTCTTGCTTCAGTTGCCCATGGTACAGTCCTTGCCCTCCTCTACCTACACTTGGTTTCTAGGAGAGCCTATCCATCCATGACTTGGGTGCCAATAGATGCTGATAATTCCATATTACGTATTTCCAGCTTAGACCTGTTTGAATTCTCAACTCATTTATCCAGCTGCCAACCCAGTCTCCATTTGGATGCTCACCCTTAATGTGCCCCAAATAGAATTGCTGTTTTCCATATCCTAACCCTAGCCCTCTCACCGTCATCCCATCTCAATGGCATCACCCACCTCATGCCTGCTCAGGACAAAAACCTAAGAAACACATCGACTTATTTTCACACATCACAGCCCATCTATCAGCAAATCCTGCTGGCTTCAAATACAAAACGGGTTTCAGATCCACCCATTTTTCACCATTGCCACTCCAGCCCAAACCACTTCACACCTGCAGTAGCTCATAATGGTCTTATAGTTCTCTAAAGTGGTTTCCCCCAACTTTATTTAAAAAGTTATACCCACAAAAAAGTTGAAAGCGTACAGTGAAACTTCATCTAGATTCACCGATTAACAATTTGCTCCCTTGGTGAATTTATACACATGCACACACACACATTTTACTGAACCAATTGAAAGTAAGTTGTGGAAATCATTATACTTCATCTTTCAATACCTCAGTATGTGTTTCTTATGAATAAGAACTTTCCCTACATGACTGATTCTTTTGAAATGCAAATCACGTCATATTTCCCTGCTCAAGGTCCTCCAATGGTTTTCCTTCACACAGAATGCAATCCAAATTTGTCATAATCTGCAAGGCTTAGCATGACCTGCCCTCCACCTATTCCTTAGATCTCATTGTCTACCAGTCTCTCTAGCTTGCTTTCCATCAGTTATACATACTGTCTCCATCAGGACAGGTTACACCATACTGAGATATCCCCAAACCTCACAGGCTTAAAACAGTCAGGCATGCTGGTGTGTGCCTGTAGTCTCAGCTACTCAAGAGACTGAAGCGGAAGGATCTCTTGAACCCAGGAGTTTTGAGTCCAACCTAGGCAACATAGCGAGAGCCTATCTCAAAACAAAAACAACCACAATACTAATATTTCTTACTCAAATTATGTGTCTACTAGAAGACAAGTGATGATTCTGTTTCCTTCCTTTCTGCTAGATCTAGGCTGAAGGAGCATCCACTATCATGCATTAGCAATCATCAATCATACCAGAGAGGGAAAAGCTCTAGAGCATCTTACATTGCTCTGTCTGTAAATGGCCCATATTATTTCCACTTACAACTCTCCAGAACTAGTCACATGGTCCTATATACAACTACGAACAACCAGGTGGTGCAATTCTGTCTTGTGCCCAGAAGGAGAGAGAACCAGAATATTTGGCAAACAACACACACACAAACGCCAAACTGGCCTTTCTGTTTCCACAACATAGTTTATTCCAGCCTCTGAACTTGCCAATTCCTGTTCTGTCAGCTTAAAACTTTTTTTTTAACTGTGATCTTTGAATGGCTCTCTTCCTCACTTTGTGCAGCTATCTCTGCTTAAATATCACGTTCTTAGCAGTGCCTTCTTTGATGCCCTATCTGAAATAATACCTTGTTTCCTCCTCAAGACCTCCCTCCTTCACTGTATATTCCTACCTTTAAGCTTTTTTTGAAGCACAAACTTGATGCTATTGTTGTATGGTTTATTTTTTTAATCGACTACCTTCCCCACCAGAATAGAAACGGGATTTTGGTTTATTGGCGTCTGTATCTCCAGCATGTAGGCTAATGCCTGATGTACAGTTCAGTGAATAAATGAAGGAATTAATGGGTCTAGACCAGTTGAAAAGCCTGACTAAAGCTGCCTTTTCCTGAGCAGTAATTGGATGGATCCCACCAACATTTGCCTCAGTGACTCCATTTATTGTATACTTCCAATGCTACTTAAGTTCTGATGGACACAATTTTTTAAAATACCAAATCACTGCAGAGTCCCACCAGCTTGGAAACCATTCTGTCTTCTACAGGTGACTTAGCATGTCTCTGTTCTAAACAATTATTTGTTAATTTCAAAGAGTATGTCTCAGTAAGAAATTTTATTTCCAAATTCTTGCCAAAAACGTCACTGTAGTCCCAAGTATTGATGGCATATTGTGGTTGAATCATGCTTTGCTTGGGTTAATGGTGTGGTAAAATATGTATAATTCTTACAGTCTCTGTCATTCACAACCATTTTTTGGAAGCTCATATTTAGCAACAAGGAAAAGAGGTAGGGGATCCTCATCCCTGCCATCACCAACTGCAGATCTTATTATAAAGAGATATTTGGGTGAGAACCTCCCTAATCACTGCAGCCAAGGTTCTTGTGCCTTGACACCTACTTACCAACTGGGTGTGTGCAGTGAACTACTCATGGGTGTTTCTCATGAACTCCATTGACTGTGTCCTAACATAGGGAAATCTGGCTGCAACAAGAGAAATGTCTTTTTTTTTTTTTTTAAGCAGGGAGCTCCCATGGTATATTTAATCATCATATATTTCTGAAACGTACATTTATGCAAACTTCTTGAGACTTCACTTATTTTTTCTTCACAATTCTTTTTTGTACTTAATAGACTCCCATACTGAATTCCTCTAATTTGTATTATATGTCTTACAATTTAATTTAAAAGTTAGTCTTAATAATTAGTTTGAGGTTCTTATACAATCTTCCAGATAGTAATTCCTACACAAGCATTAACCAGTGATAACATGGACATGAATTGAGAAGGGAGTTGTCTAATGTGCTCCTTGAAAAGACTTTGT